GTCTTTTTGAACAACTTATCAAACTATTATTGAAACAAAGAGAACAGGCAACCACTCATTAAAATTTCAGTATAATAATATAGCTGACATCTATACACTCAGCTTATCTAATTACATTCATATAAACCACTGACTAGACAATCTTGACTTTCTCCTCTCATATACAATATTTATCATCATATTGTAAGTTTGTAACTGATAAGTTCAGAAAAGATATTGCAAAGAACCTATCGTACTGATAACAATAAGTATAGCAATATATCTGAAGCGGCAAAAATTATCTTATGGATATGTTGGGAGCGAACTGCAATGTTATTTATTCTAGAAATCTCAACTGATACCAAACTGATAATGATAAAAATCTCTTATGATGAAAGTACATAAACAAGATGACTACTGTTGTCACAATACCTCACACAGATGGGTGGAATCAAATAATACAATTTTATTAATAGATTTTCTGACAAACTGTACAGCAATACCTCGCATAGTCCGGGTAATCAGTTCTGCCAATATCCCAGACTGTTTGAAACTGGACTAATCGAGGAACTAAATACATTCAAAAAATTATAATTGGTTAAAAAAAATTCTGTTTTTCAATAAATAAAATGTGATTAATAAATTCAAATGTCTTTACTAGAAATAATTGTAAAAAATTCGTGTTTTTCTTAATTCATTTTTTATTCTCTAAAAATTGCAATACAGATATCTGCACATTTTTCTTCTTTGGCCTTTTCTCTTCATACATTTCTTTGTAGCAATGAATTGCTCTCCCCACCTCCTCCAGCGATAGCTGTCAGAGCTCAAGAACGAACGACCCAAGCATAGGTACATACATATACAATGGGGAACCACAGAAAAAAATTGAAATATGTATCGTATCGCATAACTTTAAAGCCACATACAAATGAACTTCACAAAAAGAGACTTGACTGTATAAAGGGGGGGAAAAAACGAATATTTATGTATTAAAAATAATTTTGTGTACTAATTTTTTAGAATTTATTTTTATTTTGCTCAATTAAAATTTAGTTTGTTTTGAAATTTTCAAACCGGACTATAGTGAATCTGGACTGATCAAAGCTGGACTATGCGAGGTATTGCTGTACTTTAAAAGAAGAAACTTACGCAGAATAAAATGTCTATACATTAGGAACTACAGTTTAAATTTCAAATATTGTTCAATTAAATAAAAGTTTCAGCAAAAATATATACATATATACAGGGTGTCCCAGGAGGAATGGACCAAACTTCGGGAGGGCGTTCCTTATGTTAAAGTATGCCGATATAACCCAAAACACCTACGTCCAAAGTTGAACGGTTTCGGAGATAATGGCCCAAGAAAAGTGTGGTCTTCTGGCAGGTCCACGCACTGTACCTCTCAGCTGAGAGGCCTTATCTGTGTTTGTCCTTGAGTGCGGTGATACACCCTAGCTGTGCTTATGTAGTTGGCTTTATCAGAACGCGCAGTCAGTATATTACATCAGCGCTTGCCATTCATGTGTCATGTATAGTGCTTGGAAACCCTAAGGACAATTATGACATGGCGAGCGAGTATTTTGTACTTCAATTTTATGGCTTCATGTCACTCACAAGTTAGTTTGATGTTACGTACATTATTAACATTACAGAATCCACATATTCCTGCCAGTTTTAATATGTATTTTGTAATCAACAAGTGTGCAACGCCGGTCAAAGTTTGACACTTCTCTGGCCATTATCTCTGTAACCGTTCAACTTTGGACATAGGTGTTTTGGGTTATATCGGCATACTTTAACATAAGGAACACCCTCCCGAAGTTTGGCCCATTCCTCCTGGGACACCCTGTATATACAAGAAAATTCTTATGGTTTTATAAACCGAATTTTAGGATACAAGTAGTGCCATATGCACTTGAACACCTAGGCACGAGATCATTTACTTACTTACTTACTTACTTACTTACTTATGGAGCTGAGCCCTTCTTGAGGAGAAGCCAAATCTGCAGCTACTCAAGAAGTTCCCAGCATTTTATGGAACCCGAAGGTTCATTACTGTGTTTACAAGAGCCCTCCGCTGGTCCTTATCCTGAGCCAGATCAATACAATCCGTACCATCCCCGCCTATCTCTCTGAGATCCACTGTAATATTGTCCACCCACCTACACCTTTCTCTTCCCAGTGGTCTCTTTCCTTCTGGCTTTCCCACCAATATTCTATATTCATTCATCTTCTCCCCATTTGTGCTATATGGCCTGGTCACCTCATCTTCCTTGACATCATCATTCTAATTATACTTGGAGAAGAGTAAAGTTATGAAGTTCCTCATTATGTAGTTTTCTCCAACCTCCCAATATTTCAACTCTCTTCAGTCCAAATATTCTCTTCAGCACCTTTTTCAAATACCCTAAGTCTATGCTCTTCTCTTAATGTCAAAGACTGAGTTTCACATCCATACAGAAACACAGGCAAAATTAGTTTTGTATATTCATTTTTATGTTTTTATACCACAGACAAGAAGACAAAAGCTTCTGGACTGAATGGTAGTGAGCATTACCCAAATTCAATCTGCTTCTAATTTCCTCCTGAATCAGGTTTGATTTGCTACTGCCATTCCCAAATATTTGAACTATGGCACATTTCGAAAGGATTTATCAGCTCTATTTATGTCAAGATTTTGCCCTGCAGCCTGGCGACAGTTTTCTCTGTGATTACTTCTAGATCAACCTCCTTACTGGCATCAGTTAAAGTTCTGTGTTTTTCTTGATGGTATCTATGTTATCACCCAGCAGATTCACATCAGCAGCACAGACCAGCAGCTGATATTTCCCATTTAATTTCAGTCCCACCTGGTTTCCCTGGACCTTCCTAATGGCATATTCTAAAGCAAAGTTGAAAAGCAGTGGCGATAAAGCACCTCCTTGTTTTAGACCTTTTGGACAGGAAAATTATCAGACAAATGTTTACATGTACAGACTTTACAATATGTTTTGTCTAAACACATGGACATCCCAAACTCTATGAGAATAGTGTACAATACTTCCCTAACTGAATCACAGGCTTTCTTGAAGTCTACAAATAGCTAATGTATTCCTTCATTGCACTGCCATTCTTTCTTCAGTATTTGACAAAAAAAAAAAAAAAAAAAAAAAAACAANNNATCAGTAATTGATCTGTTATGTCAAAACTCATGATGATGATCCTCAATAATTTCACCTGTATATGGACTTAACCCTGAAAGAAGGATAGTGGATGCAATTTTGTACAAAGATACTCTACAATATTTTGGCTAAATTTCAAACTGATATTTCAAAGCATTTCTTATCAAACAACATTTATTATTACAAAGTGTAGCTCTGAGATTGTGCTGTGTGCTATTCCTGTTTACAGGTACTAGAAATGCTCAAAACTACAAGGACATGAATGTGTTTCTACAAGGTGTGGCAATAAAGAAACCGGATTACTTTTATGACTCATTTCCGGCCACGTCATTGACGAAGAGGAGGGTAGGGCATTGACCCTTGGACTTCCCTCTACCGTCACACAAAGTTTCATTCACGTGCATCGGTTAGTCTGGCCGCGACCATTGTTAGAAGCGGATCGTGTTTCTGAGCTCCGTCGGAATAATGCTGAGTGCTAATGCAGAACAACGTGCTAACATCAAATTCCTCACAAAACTTGGAAAATCTGCCACTGAAACTTACAATTTGTTGACAGAAGTATATGGTGATCAGTGTCTATCTCGCACGCAAGTTTTC